TATTTAGATCCAATGAGGAACTACGGGTAAGACCAATCATATTGAAGAATTTTACAACAGTTGCAAAGCTGCTTTCTCTGCTGAACGCAGCCAATGGCTGCAAGAAAAGAGAGAGTCAGCATGAAAAGGTACCTTTAAAGTACATTTTTACGAGCAATTTTGATCATGTGATCATTTTTATCACTGAAACAGCCGGTTTGAATGATTCATGAAAATGTACCGTTGTGTCATAGATCAGACCTAGTAATGGCTCCTGCACACTGGACGTGGAAACGCTTGCCGCACAGCAAAATGAGACGCGATAACCAATGAACGCATTAGGAGCTGTAAGCTTATTGGCTACCGCATCACATTTTGCCGCGCGGCAAGCGTTTCCGCGTCCAGTGTACAGAAGCCATCAGAGTGATCAGACCCGTCGGTTCAGTCTAGCAATCAATTGGGTTCGTTCTGTCGTCTGTTGTAGGTTATCAATTATTAGAGTCAAGCATGAGGATGCAATGACTCTTTATTTGCATCATTGCACACGTAATTTTTTCCTGTCTGCGATTACCGGTGTCACTGACGAGGGTTCCTGACACGGTAAGAAAGAAGACCGAACGAATGAGGTCCAACGTGTGCTCGTTTGCACGTCACGTCATAAAGCGTAATTATCGCACGTTGCTATTCTTTCCCGTTGGCCGAAGCCTCCGGTACAATCTATCGGCGCCCTGCAAGCAATTCTCGTGGATTTACACCAACCAGATCATGCCACGTTCCGTCGAACATATGCTTGGCATGCAACGGATGAGACAGAAGATAAAAGAGAAGTCAGCGAAATATATTGGAAATACAAAGGTGTCGTTGCAGGTCAGTCGAACAAGAATGTTTCGAAAATGATGATTTAATGATGAATATTTAATATATTATGAATATTTTTTTTATACCACTTGTAGATTCTGGGTACTGGAGCTTATGGCACATCACGATGTGTCTATTTGACAGCAGGTCACACCAGGTACATTTTCAACTGCGGCGAAGGAACACAGAGATTGGCATACGAACATAAGTACAAGCTAATCAAATTGGAGCACGTATTTATAACATCAGCAACTTGGAATAACTTGGGCGGCATGCCGGGAATGCTTCTGACGATACAGGATGCTGGAGTGCCAAAGATCAATATACATTGTCCCAAAGGAACAATGGAGATATTTAATACAATCAAGAAGACCGTGCTGCTGCAGGCTCTGAAGATTAATGAGGCCAAATGTAATGAGTCGGAGCCATATATTGATTCAGTGATGTCTGTTTCGTATGTTTCCATTATAAATCCAAATGCGCAAGAGACAGAGTCTATTGATGTAGAAAAAGATGTAATCGATATTAATTATTATGATTATAAGACCAACACAAATAGCAAGCGAGTACCTGATAGAATAGAGAAAAAGTCTAAAGTCCAGAAGATCGATCAGAAGTCTGACAATAGAATATCGTCTGTAATGTCTTACATTTGCAAATTGCACCCTCGAGCGGGTACATTATCCTTAGAGAAGTGTTTAGAAAAGGGAGTGAAACCTGGGCCTCTACTCGGTCAGCTCAAAACTGGTGCAGATATTACTCTTCCTGACGGCACAGTTGTTTTGAGCAAGGATGTTTGCTCGCCAGCAACGCCAGGCCCTACTTTTATAAGTATGTTAAGGATTTTATTTAAAGTTTCTATTTATCACTAATGTCACAGATTCTGATATCAAAAGCAAGAAAACAGATTCTTACAAGTTATATTTGAATAGAAATATTTTTCAATAAAACATTTGTCTTTGATAGATTTATAAAATATAATTTTTTTTGGGGGGGAGAAATTAAATCATTTATTTCTACACATGTTATTAATTTGATAATTTGTTATAACTGTAAACATAGCTTATTTCATTTCTAATTACACATAATTTATTTTCAGATATATGGTTATTTATTAATTAACAAAACAAAAAGAAAAGGAGGATTAAAAAAAGTGTCTGTTTTCACCCCTAAGATACATCTGAATAGATCTTTAAAAAATCATTATTTGAGTCCTCAGAGAACAAGTTTAGTATGATCAGATTCTGATGAAAATGCACATGAAATGTAAATTCGCTCACTTTATCAATGTCATGTACGCACGCACGTACGAACGCACGCACGCATGCATGGCAGAGAGAGTTCGGAATCGCTAAATATTACAGGAATAATAAATCGTGAAGTCTTATTTTCTATCAAGGGATGCTAAGCGGACTGTATCTCTACATGGTGCATCCTGATGTATCTCGACATAGTGCTAAAGTAGTTCGCAAACTTTATATGCAGAATATACTTACGTTTCTGGTTAAAATCATTTTTCGTTTATTAACCATATATGTAAATATAACGTCATTTTTTACTATGTTTAAGCAATTCTAGTAATGTTCCCATTACTTCTCAGACAAATGATTGTTATCTCTTATTCTCTGAGGACCCAAATAATGATTTTTCAGGATTTATTCAGGTGTATCTTGGAGGCAAAAATCGACATTTTTTTAATGCTTTCATTTATATTTACAAGTCGGTTCTAGTGATTGTTGTTTTATTGAAATACTTTCATATTAATATGGTTTGTAAGAACTTTTATTGTTTATTTTTTTCCACTTCTAACATCACAATCTGAAATAGTAGTGGAGAGAGAACAGGAGAAGTTTTCATTTTAATATCTTTTACTTGTTTTATTTTAAATTTTACTTGTGTATAGTTGTAGAGTGTCCATCAGAAGATTACTTAGAGAATTTTGTAAATCATCCTGCCTTTGTGCGGCATCAAACGGGAACGACGAACAAAGATGATATACCATACTGCGTCATTCATTTTACTCCGCAAGATGTGATGGATAATTCTCGCTATGTGAACTGGATGAGCAAATTTGGTCTTAATACGCGTCATATAGTCGTAAATGAAGAGAATCAATGCATGGGCACCGAAGCGATGCACAGACATCAGCACAAACTCCATATGCTGCACTCTGAGATATTTCCTTTCTTAAGTGAGGAAAGCTTCCAAGAGAAAACAAGGGTAAGATACATTGTTATGCACTCATTATTTAATCTTAGAAATACCTATTAATAATTAAATATAATAATTAAAAAATAATTAAATATAATTTTTTTTTTTAGGAAGATCTACCCATTATACATCGTCCCAAAACACATCACACTGTTCATCTACAACCGAAATTAAGATTCGATACGAAGAATGAGGTATCGCTGCACCCAGAGGAATATGTAAACGAAGTTTTCGAAATTGACGGCATTTTAGATGCGTTGGCGGAACTCCAAACAGAGATCAACGCTCGAACGAAGACGTTACATATTGGCAATGAGTACCCGAAGATTGTCATGTTGGGCACTGGATCTAGCATACCAAGTAAAGTCAGAAACACGAGCGGCATACTTCTACGAGTGGATAAAGACCACAGTATGTTACTAGATTGCGGAGAGGGAACATTCGGCCAGATAGTGAAAATCTATGGAAGGTCTGAGGCACATAATATTTTAAAAACGATAAAAGTAAGACGATCGTTTATTTCTATAAATATTTCTTTTTTCTATTTTTTGTAAATTCCGTAATGGCAACTTATAATATTTGAATTGTATTTTAGGGAGTGTACATATCGCACATGCACGCGGATCATCACATAGGATTGATTGGTTTGCTGAAGGCGAGAAGGAAGGTCACGGAAGATCCTTTGTATCTGTTAGCACCTGGGCATATCAATGTGTGGTTGCATATGTATCATACACGTTTTGAGCCTATTTTACATCGAATGACATTGATAAAAAACAACGAGTTCTGTATGGACTCGCATAATCCAGAGTTGTATAAATACAGAAACATATACAATACATTGAACGTGCAAGCCGTGAGGACAGTATACGTCGAGCATTGTCCTTATTCTTATGGCGTTTCCGTGACACTCCATAATGGGAAGAAAATAGTATATAGGTAAGTGTAGTAATTTTATAAACCTTTCTTTAAAGTCCCAAGTCAATTGTTCACTCAACTGTAGAAACAGTCTTTGAATTATTTTATAATTTAGTTCGAAATATTTTATTCTTTTTTTACGCTACATGAATTATGTATGTGATATTGTATATTTAGTGGCGACACTATGCCCTGTGCGCGTCTCGTGGAACTTGGTCAAAATTGCGATCTACTCATCCATGAAGCGACAATGGAGGACGATCTGATAGAGGACGCGAGACTGAAGTTTCATTCGACAGTCTCGCAGGCTATACAGGCAGGTGAAAAGATGAAATCAAAGTTTACACTATTGACGCACTTTAGTCAACGCTATTCTGTAATACCTCATTTGCCGGATAACAAAAATGGTCCTAAACTAGATAACGTCGGCATTGCATACGACAATATGCATATTAGCTTGTCGCAATTACCGCTCTTGCCTTTGATGTACCCAACATTGAAAATAATGTTCAATAAGTATTATCTAGAAATAGAGGATCGAGCTGCTCGAAGACAACGAATAGCAGCTTAATAAATATTTTATAATAATATAAATTGTATTACAGCTTTCGTCTTACCGACACCTGTCATAGTTCTCCATTGTTGACTTGAAAAGTAAACATTTTTAACAGACTTTAATGAATGTTGCATAGCAATGAATTTAACTAGTGGCTAAAAGTTTGCTTCTTTAATTTTAACATGTAAAATTATCACTCAAACTGATTTGTAAACAAAGATGGCTTACGTATCTTACGATTTTTATATAAATCAATTGAAAGTTGAAGAATCAAAGAATCCTACTAAAATAGAAAACAACAAACTTGTATATAATCCTGTATATATATGTAAATCAGTTTGCGAAAGGAACTACATTTGTGGTTGAAATAATTCGGTAATAAAGTCTTGACCAATAAAAAATTATCTTATTGTATCTTCTAATTTATTACATCAATTGTTCTTAATGCGTTTCTATCATGAAAAGGTAGTAAAAAGAGATGATTGAGAGAGACTTACACAACTATATTTAAGAGAATAATACGTGTATCGTCGTCTGTAAATCGACCCATACATCTGAGCAACATTTTTGTCCAAAAAAGTAAAATATTCAACGAATATATTTTCGTCCGCTTTTCGCATCGTACACACGTTTTGTTCTCGTTTAAAATTAAGCGACGCGAGGCACACATATAGTACCATGCTATAATTACGATAATTAACGTAATAATATTGAAGAGGCAAACATATTTACAAGAGACTTACGTATCTTAATGTCTCTTTTTCTCTCTCTCACACACGCACACACCTCTCCATTTTTTCCCAAAATATTTTTTCTCGAACTGAAGAATTCTTAATTTTCCACGTATTATATTCCTAAATCATATTACGATTCTGTCGATCTTTTATTTATCGTTATGAAAAGAACGAGGAGACTGAAATGAAACCTATCTTATTGCTAAAACACACGTGACATCCGTTAAAATATCGTTCCCAATAAACGTAACAAAAAAGAAAAAAGCGAACAGATTTTCACAAATCTGTGTGCTGCGAATCTTTCCAACACCAAGCCTTAATTCAAGGCATATTTCATTTGCTTAACATACGCAATAAGCTAATACGGTGTAAAGCAGAGTAATACTGTACTATTAGTACAGCAAAACTGAGTGTGCATCTCGTTAAACGAGCTTTTCGTATAACTTATATGATCGTAACAGATATGTCTTAATAACGAAATCTGCAAGTTGATACCGACCTAGGAGGCAGCAATCGAATATTGGTCGAATTGGATCTGTGTCTCTCCTTTCAAGCGTGATTCTTAATTATTATATATATATATATACATATATATGTATATATACGAGATGAATAAAAAGTACCGAAACCCTTGAATATCTCAAAATATATAAGTTTTATAAATTAATATTTTAGATAAAAATTGTAGGATTTAAACAGTATTTACTGACCTTATCAGATTGACCTTGATTGTCAATGTCAGATCGGGGTCATATCGATTTTTTTTAAATGGCAATCTCTATTTTTCATTGCATATTCTTGTAGCTTATCTCGAGAGTTCTTTAAAATATTATAAGAAAATATTTTTCTATTAAATATTTTTTGAGTTATAAGGCTTGAAACTTACAATTATGCCAGAATTATCTAAGGTTCAACTGATGGTTAAAATGTCTTTTAAATGTTGTTCAGTCATGATCTGGACATCATATGTTAAGATCAAAATCTTTAGAGGTTGCTTCTTTTAATTTCATTTGTACACTAAAAATGAAAACAAAAAGAATAATCTCCAAAGTTCTTGATCTTGACAAATGTTATCAAAATCATGATCTCGAACAACATTTAAGAGGTTCTAACCATTAATTGGACACCTTAGATAATATTATAATGCCGTCGGTATACTGTAACTTTCAAGTCTTATGACTCAAAAAGTACTTAATGAAAAAAAAATTGTTGTAGTGCTGTGAAAAGCTCTCGAGATAAGCTACAAGAATATGCAATGAAAAATGAGGGTTTCCATTAAAAAAAATTTATGTAATCTTGATCTGACCTTGACAACGACACCCAAGATCAAACTGATAAGACCAGTAAATAGATCTTTTTAAACCCTACAACTTTTGTTTGAAACATTTTTCATAAAACTTATATTTTTTAGATATAGGTTTTATAAAAAAGGAATTCCGATACTTTTTATACACTTGTATATATATGTATATATATTATGTATATATATATATATTATGTATATGTATGTATACATGTGTATATACAGGATGTTTAGCGTAACGGTCCATACGATTTTTTTTACATACAGTTACAGAAAAAGATTGAAAGGTAAATATTTATGTTTCATACGGACATATGCGAAAAAAAAAATTTTTTTTAATGTTTTTAATAAAATAAATCAAAGTCATCTTGAATTTTTTAAATAGCACCATACAAAATTTCATAATATTGTAGGGGTTTTCAAGACGAGTTCAATGCACTATTGAGAATGTCACCTTTATTGATGTGTTTTATTGATTTTATATACATAAACACATAATATGTATCATATATATCCATTAATAAAAAAAGACTATGTAAATAAATTTTATTAATTTATAACAGATTTTATTGATATTTAATCCATGGACGGTTGCTCAGTCCATAATGCACGAATAGTTCAAAATTATTTTCAGAATATCTTTGAAAAGTGTTATAAGTACATGGATCAGTTCGATGGCCGGCACATTCTTCGGATTTATCTCCGATGGATTTTTTCTTGTAGGAACATTTGAAATTTTTGTATATCAAACATCAATAAATAATATTCAATCTTCGAGAGAGAATAATTACAGGTTGTGCAATTTTGAGTCAAAATAGTAATAACTGCTACGCATAGTAATATGTAATTTGTTAAAAAGAGCAGAACTTTGTATTGCAGGAAGCAAGCAATTTGAACATTTACATAAATTAAAGCTCACATAAGATAAAAATAAAATTTGTTCATATAAATCACATAGTTTTTCTTTATTGATGGATATTTATAATACATGTATTTTTTTGTATATAAGATCAACAAAACATCAATAAAGGTGACATTCTCAATAGTACATTGAATTCGTCTTGAAGACTCTTATAATATTATGGAAAAAAATTGAACTACTTAAAAAATTTAACATTGATTTTTTTATTAAAAAATTTTTTTTAATTTTTTATGACTTGTTGTCTACATCAACCGATAAATATTCACCTTTCTTTCCTTTTTTTTAACTGTCGGAAATGTACAAAAACAGTGCGGACCATTACTCTGGACACTCTGTATGTATATAATATATATATATCCTTTTAAATAATCTATTTAATATATAAAAAATGTACCCATAACGATAGCAAAAACCCATTACTACGCTGTAAGCAGAAAGAAAAATCTGTTTCTTTCTAAATGCATTGATATTGATTGATTTACACTTATAAATTTCTTTCGTCTCAGAATAAGATAAGACAAACTAAATAAGCATATTAATAACGATTGTTAAACCAATTCTATGATCAATGTCTCAGGATTATGAATAAACGTGTAAATACATACAAAGGGCATCGATATACAATTGAATTTGCAGTAGCAACTGTATATATATCTATAAATATATAAAGATATAAAAGTGTGTGTAGTTTACTTATAAAATAGACCGTAATTGTAATAGCCGGTCCTTTAAATATCTCTCGGACTTTACGTTATCCGCGTATAAACCGCCAGTCTTGAATATACTGTGGATCCACGAAACTTTACTAAGAAAAAAAAGTATATATTGCAGTGGAACATCGAATATCGAAAACTCGTCGTTTTGACGCGATACGGCATGCTCGATTAAGTATGTGGCAGGAAACAGCGCAAACTGCCGATCTCTTGCTGTTGTTGTTCCGGGGGTTCCGGGAACACGGTGCTACGAGTTACGACCACAAAGCTGAGGAGGCAGTTGAATACACATTTACGTTTTATCCTCCGCATTAGAACTCCCATTTCGTGGCGGACTCGTAGTCTGGCTCGCCTAAACGCAACGCGCCATTCTTGCCCGCGGTGAGATATCGGCCATCTACGCACTTGATGCAGATGCGTGACGGCTCACGCAGTTCCAAATAAAAACCGTCGGACGGCATGTCTGAATCCACGGTCACTCCCTCGCTGTCTGCATGCCAATATTTACCATTTTGTCCTATAAAATAATAAAGACAAATGATACAATTTATCCGAAGTGGGAAGCAAATACTTCTTAATATATAACAATATACAATACAATACAATATATATTAGTTGTGTGTGTGAGTGTCCTTATCGCCTTATATTATTATACAAGGTGCTTGGTAATTCTGTCGACAACGCTCGTAAGTAGGTAGAGCAGACTAAACTGAGTCGAAAAGTCCTGTACCATTTTGCAATATTTGCAACAATTAAAAAAGATATTAATTTCTAAAGATTACCGAATAAGTGCGTATCCGCCTGGATATACCGCCAAGTGCACACCTATTGGTCGTAGTTTCTGGGGATGCGGGGAATTGTTTTCTTTCGCTTTTACCGTTGTGCGTAATTATTGCTACTAATACTTGTAATAAACAACTCCCCGGATATCTAGCGATCACGACCGAGCATGCATTTGGCGATATGACAGAGTGGATATACTTATTCATACACGATCTATAAAAATTAATATTTCGTTAACTATTGTCAAAATTATAAAGTGATACACGAGTTTCTGATTCATAATCAGTTTAATCCGCCCTACCTGCCTACGAGAGTTGTCGGCAAAATTATCAGACATATACAGCGATTTATGTGCAAAAAAGAATGTATATAAAGTTAATTCAAGATAATTTAAGAGAGGACAGGTTTTGTATAATTAAATTGTGTGTGCGCATGCACGCGTGTGTGTGGAAGTAAAATTTGCAAATTTCAGGAAAAGGAATAAATGGATAGTTCTTCGTTTAGATATTATTTACTACTATATTATACGGTAAATATTTACATGGAGCCAGTGTCGATAAACTTGACACATATTATCAAGGTCATGACTCTGAGTGATCTTCAACAGATCAGCCGTGTTGTGTGGGGAGCAACGGTTAAAATCTGTTGAGGGTTCTTCTGCGTGATGACCTTGACAACACATGTCAAGGTCATCGGCGCTGGCTCCGTTCATATAAATATAATTTACTTAAATTATTAAATTATTAAATTACTTTAAATTATTAAATTATTATTAAGATTTAATTATTAAATTATTTATTAAAATTATTTAATTATTTATTATAAACAGTAAAATGTGTTTACGTAAATGTTCATTCACAAAATTGTACGACAAGACCTAAATAAGAGAAACGCCACTTGACGACCAAAATTAGATAATAAAGTAATGCATATATATGTATTCTTTAAATGAATGTCAGAAATATGATTGCACGCCATTACTATCAGACCTTCAACACGATATAATCCATCTGAAATATTAATAATCCTCCCAAATTTTATTTACATATATTATGTCTTAAAAACCTGTAAAAAACTTATTGCAAAAAATATTACCTCGGCCGGGAGTCGAACTCTCCGGATCTCTAAGATTTCGTGCGAGCGTCCTAAGCCTTTAGACCACCGAGACCTTAGTAATATTCTTCGCAATAATCAGTATATGTATGAAAATAACTATTTCCTATTAATCAGTTTTATATTACAACTTAATTTTCTACAGCTCAAAAATATAATATTTTTATATAAGGAGAACTGCATTCATTTCCTTTCCTGAAATAAATTCACAAATTTTTTGTCTTCAATTTAACTATACAACTCCTGTCCTTTTTTTGCAGTAACAAAACGAGTTAAATGAATTGAAGAAGCGCAATCACCTTTAAATCTGACTTCGCCACGCTCGCATCGTTCGACGCGAATCGTTTCATAAACAGCCTTATTACATTCGAGCTTTGGACTGGCCGTGCTCTTCGGCCCGACGAAGCCCTGCTCGCATCGCAACACCAGCACGGGCCGGTTCATCAGGTAGAAGTAGTACTTGGCGGCATCAGAGTCATTGCCATTTAACTCGGCGTTCGCGTAGAGATGGCCGGATCGTTTGGTAGCCAGAAATTTGCCATTGTTCGCACGCAACGCAACCGTGCCGTCTTCTGATTGCCATGCCAGATCGAAAAGCGCGTTCGATGAGCGCTTATGATCCGACGCTTGTATGCCTCCGCCAGCCTCCAAACTCCAGTAACGGTCCTGCATTGTTCGCACGTACCATCGTTTCGTCACTCGGTCAAATTCCAATTGGAATGTCTCGTGGCCGGAGATCTCGTCCTGATTGGCCGTCACGTCAACACCTAAT